TCAATGTAAAAGTACATGGGGCTGGTAGAATAAGGGTTAATGCTAAGCTAAACATGCTAGCTGTATAACCATTCATTGGGTCATTCACATACAGGAAAATATTAACAAGCTTGAAATATTATTGTATTTTAGGTCTGGCTTATTTAGCAGTCTAATGGGTGAGAAGTCTGTAACACAACGTTGGGAAGTAAGTTATTGTTTCACAACCTCCATCTTACATTATGTGTGTTTATGTTGCAGTTAATGTTTCACAGTTTCCATCTTACAGTATTTCTGCTGCAGACAGTTACTGTTTCACAGTCTCCATCTTACAGTATTTCTGCTGCAGACAGTTACTGTTTCGCAGTCTCCATCTTACAGTATTTCTGCTACAGTTACTGTTTCATAATCACTGTATGTGTATTTGTATTTTTGCTAAAGACTGTTACTGTTTCACAATCTCTATCTTACAGTAATTGTATTTCTGTTACTGACAGTTGCTGTTTCACAATCCCCATTTGACAGTTGCTGTTTCACAATCCCTATCTGACAGTTGCTGTTTCACAATCCCCATTTGACAGTTGCCGTTTCACAATCCCTATCTGACAGTTGCTGTTTTACAATCCTCATCTACAGTATTTGTATTTCTGCTGCAGATAGTTATTCTTTCACAGTAACCTTCTTATAGTTTCTGTTTCACAATCCCTAACTGACAGTTACTGTTTCACAATCGCCGTCGACCGTATTTGTATTTCTGCTGCAGATAATTACTGTTTCATAATCCCCATCTATAGTATTTGTATTTCTACTATAGACAGTCATTGTTTCACCATATTATAGTATCACAATTCCCTTCTTTACTGTATTTTCCAACCAATCCAAACCAATTACATAGTCAGTTATGTGGAGAATTTTAATTTTTTCATCTTTATTTACCAGCGTGGTGAGATCAGTAATTTCCAGTATCTTATGTTTTTGAACACACTGGCTGGAAGGTCCTATAATGATTTGATGCAGTACCAGGTGTTTCCATGGATACTTGCCGATTATGATTCTGAGGTAAATACATTGAAAGAACTTGTGAATTAATAACTGCAATCAATTTATGCTAAAAAACCCCACCAGGGCCCAAGTACTACTAGTATATATCACAGATTAAATGTGGATGTTTGTGCTGAAGCACAGGGGATTGAAAACATTGATGTACGTGAAATCTCAGAAATAATCACAAACATCAAAGAATATAAAATATAAAAATCCAGGTGAACTTGATGATGACCAACAAATTGGTACTGTTCTATTGTGTAGAAATTGTCAGTACATGTGTCAATGTTCAGATCACCAATATCATGACAATGTGAATCCTTTACATAGTCTCTTGTATGTTTGGCTGTATACCAACACCTACATGTAACTGTTGAGGGACTTGACCCATGTGCCGTGATGCTTACCTCGTCTTTATTTTCTAGGAACTTGATCTGACTGATAGTAGAACATTCCGTGATTTATCTAAACCCATGGGAGCCCAAACAGAGGAAAGATTAAAACAGTTCAATAAGAGATTCAATGACTGGGAAGATCCCAATGGTAACTATCAATTCATATATGTACAGCAGTCTGTCATTGTTGTCGTTGTCATCGTCATCATAATCATCATTGATATCTTAGTGATATCTCTCAGTAATTCTAATATTTCTCAAACTTGTATTTTTTTAGGTGAGACGCCTCCATATCACTACGGGACACATTATTCATCTGCTATGATAGTTGCTTCTTATCTGGTTAGAATGGAATCATTTACACAACATTTTCTAAGTTTACAGGTATGATACTAGAGTACAGTATATAATAAAGTGTAGTAGGAATGACCACCAAAACAAACAAATATATTGGTTTTATAAATTATCAAAATAAAGTATTAAAGTTAAAGATAAATTAGTGTTTTTAGTCCCCGTTCGGACACAG